GGACCGGGGTCTCTTCCCGCTCGGTTTTGTCGGCCTCTGGCTCAGGGAGGCCCGACAACTGCTCTCTAAAAATAGCTAACAAAGAAAAGCTACAGGGAGGACTGGTCCAAGCAGACATTTTAAAATACTATAATGCCTCTATAATTAAAATAGTGTGGCACTCACACATGAATTATACACACAGAATCATGGAATACAATACAGATACATTTGGAAATTCGATCTGTTGGAAAAGGTGGAATCTCAAAAACTGGGGCAAAATAGACTTTATACTAAGTGATGTTGGGGAAACTTGTTAGCCACAAGGAAAAAAATAAAATCAGATCTATAAGTACACTATATGTAAGAATAAACTACAAATGAGTCAGAGATCTAAACGTAAAAAGATTAAATTAAGATAAAAAATTTTTAAAAGAATGTAAAATAAAATGTAAAAAAAAAGGAAAAATAAAATAAATAGTAAAGAATAAAACATGAGTGAATTGTTTAGCTTGAAACATCCTGTCGTGTAAGGATATTCTCAAAGAATGATAAGAACATGTCCAAAAGAAACAGTAGCCAACACTAAGGTCACAGGTTCGGATCCACATACCAGCCAGCCACAAAAGGAAAAAAAGAAAATGAAACAGGAGCCAACTTGAAGGGTCTCCCACTAGACAAACCTAGAAAAATATGAGCATCAAAACCGAGAAATAGATTATAACCCATCAAATACAATAAAAAGCCAGGAGTGCACACAAATTTAAATGTACAAATACATACATACATAAAAATAAAGGGGAGAAGAGAAAGCCCTTCCTTACATTAAAAGGCCAACAAATAAATGTAGAAGGAATAACGGAGTTAGCAAGTCACCATTTTGTAACCACCAGATTAATAATTTAATAAGCTAAGAACTGTCAATGGAAGCTAAAAGTAGTGAATGAACTCTTTCATAAGAAACAGGATATTTACATAGTTTCAAACTTACCACAAATTACTCATTAATTACAAAGGAAAAAACTAGTTACTTTGCCATGGAGCAATGTGGCAGACACCACCTTAACCAGCTGATTAAAGTTCACATCACAGTAACAAGACAGACATCATGAGGAGTCTCGTATGATGCTGGAAAGGACACATCATTTTGCCATGGAGCAATGTGGCAGACACCACCTTAACCAGCTGATTAAAGTTAACATCACAGTAACAAGACAGACATCATGAGGAGTCTCGTATGATGCTGGAAAGGACACATCATTTCTATATATTCCTGCCAAAGTACATAGCTGATTCTAATCATGAAAAGACATCAGACAAACTCAGTAGTGAGGAATACTCTACAGCCTTTTCAAAGTGAGATCTACTTTAGCACACTCCAACTTCCTGTTTTCTGAATCCCTATCCTATCTTGTACGTCCCCAGACACAGTGGCCTCGCACTGCCCGGAGCCATTAAAGGGAGGGAACTGAAAAGAGAAGGTATATTCTTCCTGTTCAAATAATAATAGTTAGAACTAAAGAAATAGCTTTTATTTTCTAAATCTTTACACTGAATTATATCTAATCATGGTAAATACAATGAATTTTTAAAAGCCTACTTTTTTATTTTTTTAAGAATTTAATAAGCAGGCTGGCCAATTAGCTCACTTGGTTGAAGTGTAGAGCTGATAACACCAAGGTCAATGATAACAAAACAAACTCAATTTCATCACTATCTGAAACAGCAAAACTAACAATAACCCTTATAAAACCATTTGTGTATAAAAGCATTAAAAATTTATTTCTTATTTAAAGTATACTAATTTGCCCAAGAGTTCTAATAGTAAACAATTTTTAGTCTATATACTGTTTAGGACTAAATATATCCTTCTAATTTACAAAAAATGAAACTAGTTTTTTTAAATACATACCATCATCATCTTTGCTTTCTAGTGGGACACTCCATGCTATTAGGTTTCTTGCTGTACGACCCTCCTCTGCAACTATTCTCCTAACTTTGTCATGACTATTGGAGCGCTGGAATGAAGCCTATGTAAAAAAAAGAGAATATTTATTAGACTATTAGATATCAGATTAATCAACATATAGAATACATTTAGCAGATAAATTTATTATTTCTCATATGTTCTCAGAAAGGAAACACTTAAAATTAATTTGGGATTTGAAGGTAGAAAAGAAAGTTAAGTCATAATTCCTTTTTAGGTCAAAAAAGACTAAATTATAAAACTTTAAAAATAAACAAGTTATTTCAAGAACAATTACAATCTAAGGTTTGAAAAAGTGTCCTAAGGAGCACAAACAGCACTGTGTACCCATATCAGTACCACCATTTACATATCAACAGGTCTGAGTGTGAAAGAGACCAGTTTTTACAAGCATGCTATACATTTCCCCTGAAAGCTCCCCGCAGCATAAAATGTTTTAGAAAATCCTTTATTTTAATTCCCTAAAGATAGTGCTAAAGTAAATTTCCCCAGTTGTTAGTCCATAATTTTATCTCCAAATTATTGAGATTTAAATAATAATTAATAGACATATTTAAATTGCAAATTTTAAAACTCAAACTACTGCATATAATGTGTGTAATTTCTTGCCTGCTCTAGCCCCACCCAGCTTGAAAGCCTACATGTTCAGCTCCACCAAGACCCTGGACCAGGTGGGATCCAGGTCCAGTTAAAGCAAAAGAAACTATTTCCCCACTAATGAATGCTATATGAAAATAGACTGTTTTTATAAGCCAAGTATCTACGAAAAGAAAGGTGTCCTCAAGCATCCATATGAGCAAGAGGATGCGCCCTCCTTACCTAACCCTTAACTCCATGTGGGCAATCTGCCTCTTTCTGAAACAAGTTCTCCACTGGGACCATCCCAAAATCCCAGTCCAATTAGTGTATGTATTCATGCTCTCTTCTAGTTCTTGCCAGCCTAGACTTTTAGCATTCCTGGAATCCTTAGATAACAGTACACTTAGTGGGCAATTGCTATGTGCTAAGCACTGTGTAAGACACTGAGGTGAATATAAAGAAATACAAGGTATTGTACTTGTCCTCAAAGAATTAACAATCCAAATGAGTGAATCAAACATGTAA